GACGCTACAGAGGGCAGAGGCAGGACAGGGATGGGGCACAGGCAGCTACTTCACACTTTGCGTTTAGATGGACCTAGATTTGATTCTTGACTCTACTGTTTGCTGGTTGTGTGAACTTGGGTAAGTCACGTGACCCTTTGAGCTTATTAAATCTTTATTGAGTCTATTACCAGACACTTTGATTAGAGCAGAGAAGACCAGTTTCAAATTAATAATAATAATACTTTTTAAAAGTCCCTCCTCAAAGAACTGATATTCCAAAAGGGAAGACCAGGAAGCAAAGGTACAATCATGTTTACCTTCAGTGTTGGTTTGTAATTAAGCCAGCCCAGTGACTGGCAGAGAAGCTGTCACCAGTAATTGGTAACGAATATTGTCATTATCCCTTGTCTTGGGCACGCCAGAGGCACAGCCAAGAGATATGAATTCAAGCCCTCAGCCTAAGCAGGTGGGGCCAAACTCAGTTTATCTGCACTTCCCTGCCCCTGGCTGAGCTCTGTCTGGGCTGAAGGAGAGCAGGGACTTTCTCTGAGTACAAAGAGGCCTTGAAAAGCCTGCCCTTGACCTCAGCCATCCCTGCTATTGGACTTATTCTAAAGCCAACCTACGGCCCTGGGTTTTATCCAGGACTGACAGGGCACGATTCCAGATCACGATTTCAGAACTTATCCTGGCTGGCAGGGAGCTGCCTGGGTTATCCTCAGAAACACCTTAGCCTCCTGAGAATCTGCCCAACCAAAATTCCTGGGAGCTGGTCCAGACTCCTTCAGGCCTTTTCTGGTCTTTGCTGGGGAATCAGTTTTGGGCCAGAACCTATTCCAAGATGAGAGGTGAGCAGAGGCTTGCCAAAGATGAACCAGCTGTCCCAACCGTGGCTTTCTTTTGTAGGTTCATTATATCAAAATTAATGAAACATATTTTTTTGAATCACAGAGATTTATCTATGTAATAAACAAATCTTAACTCTGACCCCTCATTTTAAAGGAGACCATAATCATTCCTAGCTTACTGACATTAATGAATGGCGTGCTATTGTGTTATCGGAAGATTCTGCCAAGCTAGAGCTTAAATCTGCCGTGTGCGAAAACCTACAGGTGTTTGTGGTTTAAACAAAAGCAAAAGGAAAACCAAGAAAAAATATCCTCTCTACTAAAGGAGAAAAACTGAATCACAACTTAAAAGTGGAAGAAACATTTTGTATGTGTTTTATTTTTCTGTTTCCAAGCCTGACCTTAAACATGCCCGTTTATTTGTTATCCAAAGACAATCAACTCCATCACTGTCAGCTCCACATTGATGGTCTGGAGATTTAAAGGATCTTGTACTGTAGATAATTAAAAATTCATCAAGAGTAAGCATCCTGTTACAGGTTCTAAGCGGTTTAAGAGAGAAGGGTTGTCTGTTTGGCATCTCCTGCCACAACATAGCTCCTACTGACTTGCTTCTCATGGTGACACTTTCTGAAAAGTACACCAACCTAAGCTATTCAGTGCTGTGACAGACAACATTCCACACAGGACCAAACTTCAGGCAGCCTCCTGAACCTTCCCCTAGGCCTGTCTATGCACTTCCTTGTAAAAATCCAGTCTTTGCAGAGAACCCTAAGTCAGTTTAAAAAGATCCTCCACCCTCAAAATCTGATCATCCTAGAGCCCAATCCCCCCACCACCACTGCAAAATGTCATTGCAGAGGTCACTATACCAACAGTGACGGTCTGTGAAGATCCACCTTACTGTGCTTTCACAAGTACCACTGAATAATTCTTTTCTTTAACACGTGCATGTGGTAAGATCACCTCCATAGCCTGCTTCTATGTTGGAAAAGCCAGAAAAGTGTTCAAATAAAAATAGTGGCATTTGGTGGAAGATGTTTTCTTTCTCTCTCTGCTCATTTTTCATCTTCCCAGAGGGCCCTCCCTCTCCCGGCATCTCCCCTCCTCTGCTAGTCTTTACTCCTCTCGCTCGCTCGTCTCTGCTCCTGACACGGAGGAGTGCCTCCACCGGGCCAATACATCAAGCCGTGACACCAGCAGAGTCTCATTCCCTCTGACAGACGTCAGTTTAAAAGGCAAGAGAAGATTTCAACGCAGGGGTGAGGGACGTGAATGGAATTAGTCATCATTACCCTGAAGCGACAGGGGCTGGCTGTAGCTGTTCCCTCACCAGGCTTCTCCTGACTATGCCCCGAGGATCACCCCCATCACTCTAAACAGTCATGACACAGCCAATGTATGGGTTAAAATGATGAGCAGGGGAGACAGGCAGATCCCAAAGTAAATAGACTGAATTAGAGGCATTACAACAGTTAATATGTCAAGTCCCTGTTGGGAGGCCATAGATCCTGTGTGGTCTATTTCCCCTGCATATTGAAATTGATTGTGCCTGGGGCTATGGCAGCCTTGGTGGGGGAGGGGCGCAGGCGATTCATCCTTCTTGTCACAGGGATCAAAGAAGGCAGACAGTGTTATGTGGAATGATTTGTTCTGAAGATGCAGGGAATAGAATTTAATAGAGAAATGGGGTATAATGAAGGAAGCTGCGGGTCTTAGCCAGTGTCTCCCCTTCCACACCACCTGAGAAGTAGAAATAAGGTCATGCTCCTACCCAAATCGTATTTCTCTGGCTCAGCTCTATCTAAAACGGCGGGGACTCTACCCTCCCTTCCTTTTTCTCCACCTGGCCAACTATTTCTAGGATACCTCAAGGGATGCTTCCCATGCTTTTGAACACAGTCTTCTTGGCTACCATAGCTGAGGTTCTCCTCCTCCCCTTCTGCTCACGGCGGTGATGTCTATCAGGGGAGGCTGCCAACTCCTGGGCTAGTCCCTGATGCCAAATGCAAAGGGCACTGTTGCCACTGTGATGCTGCTGGCACTGCCCTGTCACCTGTAATCCCACAGAGTCTCAATTTAGTGCTCAAGAGCCAGGCACCAACACTCTTCATCTAACTTGGTTCTTTTTAGACTCAAAGCAAATGCAGTGCCACGGTGACTTTAATGGAATCGATCTTTGTGCGTCTACTTCCTTCTGACTGCTGCCCCCCACTTGCAAGCCGTAGGCATCAATCCACAGCGACTGGTTCAGAGGACAGTCTGAGTTCATTGATACTGCCCCGGTTCAGGTTTTCCCGAAACAGACTGGGAAGGAGAGTTGTGTGCGGCGTGTGCATTGGCAGTGCGCTCAAGACCATGACTGTGAGAGGGGAGGTGAGGAGAAGCAGAGGAACACCGGTGGGAAGAGTGAGGGGGTGTGATTGGGCGGAGGAAGAAGGTCAAAGAAGGTCAATGGTATTGCAGTTGCAACCAACACCTTCTCCAAGTGCGTGGGGAGATCTGGAGTTGGCTGGCTCCTCGGAGTTGTTCACAATTGAGGCAAGGAGCTTGGATTTTTACCCTCACATCACTCAGTTGTTGGATGTGGGTCGACTCAGGCAGGGAACGTAACCTTGAGTGCAGTGGTCCTTTTCAATGAGGGCAAGTCCCAACAAAAGGATTCAGCTGGCAGTGGTTTGTAGCTGACTCTTTGTGCAGCTCTGGGAATGAGTGCCTTGGTCTTCAAGGGGAATCTGGCTGGTGCACATTTGATCTCTCGGCCTCTCCTTTTACCTATAAACTTTGCTGACTTTGGCTCAACACCTTTCTTTCATCCGAATTATTTCTAAAGAAGATCCTCAAACTTTGGCAAGCCCTTTTCCCTCAGTCCTCTTTGAGCCCTTGGGTAAATGATCGCTAATGCTCATACTTGGACCACTACCATAAGAAAATCAAAATATGTCTCCTTCAATTCCCAGAAAGCAAGGCAGGAAGCTTGCGTAACACCAAGCATGTGAGACCTGAGTTCCCCTCTGCCTGTTTCACCTCTTAGGTGACACTGAACAATTACTCCACCCTTCCAGGTCTTATCTCTTAAATGCAGATTTCCACTAGCCAGTTTCTAAGGTCATTTTTCAGTTTTGGATTTCTCCAACAATGTGATCATGCGGACGTGGGAAAAGCCAATGATATTATCTGTGTCTTGGAGGGTACTGAAACTTTGTTAAGTAGGCAAAATAAGGCAATTAGGAAAGAACTAAGAACAACAAACAACTAGAATAAAAAGCAGTCGATACACTCAAATTCCAAAATAATTGCCAGAGGCAACTCCATCTATACAGGGCAGGGGTCAGGAATTTTTCCTTTAAATGGACAAATAACACATAATTTTGCAATTTGAAGTCACACAGGGTCTCTGTCACACTACTCCACACTGCTATAGTAGTGTGAAAACAGTGTGAAAACATGATAAATAGTAAGGGAAATCCAGTTGTATAGGCAATAGGTTTCTTAGGCCAAACTAAAGTAATTGCCGGTGTGTCTTCCCTGGCCTTCCGGGGAGACGTGAGTCAGCACGGTTACGTAACCAAGGTGTTATCTCCCACGCGAGCCCGTATGATCATGCTTTCCCATGGCACGTTGCCACTATTGTTCTGCCACGTTGCCATATATAAGTGCCTGCCATGTTCTTGGCCATGCTCTTGTCACAGCTGCATTCCCCTGACAATAAAGAGCATGCCTCATCTGCTCTCTGCCACTGCTTCTTCTTTCAACTCCCAGAAGCCTGCTCCAGCGCACTCGCTGGCCACAGAGCCCACTCCCCACATAAATTAGAGAGAGCATGGCTGTGTTACAATAAAACTTTATTTACAAGACCTCACTGCCAGTTGTGGTTTGCCAATCCCTGCATCACAGCTAAAGAGAGGAAAGGAGCCTTCATGACTGTCTAATGCTTGCTGCTCAAAGTGCAGCTCATGGGCGCTCAGCATTGCCATCACGGGGGAGAGATTTGAAATGGAGACCCTAGGGCAGCACTCCAGACCAGCTGGATTATATTCATAACATACACTCCAAAAATAGCCCCAGACGACTTATATGCACAAAACAATTCGAGTAGAACGAATCTATTCTAATCGTCTCATTTTTACAGAGGAACACAATGAGGCCCAGAGTGAACAGGTGACTTACCTGAGGTCACACTGACATGGCCACTGAGGTGGCCGCTTGCCACCTCCCAGCCGCTCTGCACCCCCCAGGGACAGTGTTGTGTGGGGCCCACTGGAGGCCATGGCAGGTGCGTGCTGCTGGGGCTGGGGCCTGGCCTTGCATATGCCGGCCGCCTGCTCCCACCCTCCAGCCACGCTGCTTGCGTGATCCTGATTGGGTGCTTTTTGAATCCCACTGTTACCGATTGGATGTTAAAGCTTGTTGTTGATTGGATGTTAGAGGTCGTTGCTGATTGGATGTTAAAGTTTGTTGTTGATTGGATGTTAGAGCTTGTTGCTGATTGGATGTTAAAGCCTGTTGTTGATTGGACGCTTTTTGACTCCTACCAAAGAAATAAAACCAGGAGGAGAAGAAGGAAGGGAGGAGGTCAGAAGATCAGAAGGTGTGAAGAGAGCTGTAACACTTGCTGGGGTGAGCCTGTCCGAAGAATAAAGACTGTTCTCGGAAGCTTTGTGTGCCACTCGGTTCTTTCCCCAGTCAAGAGCTGTAACACTAGCTGTACACTTGTCGTAACAACACAGCTAGTTTTAGACAAATTGAGATTAGAGATCTTCTGACTTTTTTCTTTATTCTACAAATATTTATTGAGCGTCTCCTATATGTCAGGCAAAACTATGCACCTTCATGGAACTTGCATTCTTTTCAGAGGAAAACAGACAATAAAACAATTAAAAATTAATTATTTGGCAAGTTAAAAATCAATACATGTTTTGGAGAAAAATAAATCAAGAATAGAGAATAGAGAAGGAGGTGCAGATTACGATTTTACATGTGTTAGTCAAGAAGGACCCACTGAGAAGGCAACATCTGATTAATGAGTTGAAGGAGGCCACAGAGCTGGCACGTAGATATCCAAGGGAAGAGCCTTCCAGACACAGGGAACAGCAGTGCACAGGCCCTGCATTGGGAGGATGATCATTGTGTCCAAGGAACAAGAAAGCAGCTCTGTGGCTTGGAGCAGAGTGAAAGCAGGAGGAGTTGGTTGGAAAAAAGGTTGTGAGGTCAGAGAGAGGTCATGGACAGTAGAAGGGTAGAAGATACAATTGTGTATGGCCTCATAAAGTGATGTAAAAATTTGCCTTTTATGCAAACTAAAAGTTCTTGAGCAGAAGACAGACAACATGGTCACTCTGAGTGCTGTGCTGAGAATACAGAACAGCTGGAGCTCTGTCAAAAGACAGAGTAAGGAGACCAGTTAGAAAAGCCATTGCAGTCATGCAGGGGAGACATGACAGTGGCTCATACCAGACGTAGCAAGACGTGGAGGGGTTTCATATAGACTTTGAAGTCAAAGAAAACATGTTTTCCTGGTGGATGAATGTAGAGTGTTAAAGAGGAATGAAGGATGAAGTTGACATTAACTGATAGGAAGGAAAATACTGGAGCAGGGTTAGGGGTGATGACCATGCATTTACTTTTTGACAGAATAAATTTGAGATGCCAATTGACCTCCAGTGGGAGATGCTGAGTAAGAGCAAGCATGTGACTCCTGAGTTCACTGGAAAGGTCAGGGTTGAAGTTCTAAATTTGCAGATACACAGTGTAGAGATGACATTTAAGGTCATGAGATTAGATGAGGCAATCAAGGAAAAGGGTGTATAAAAAGAAGAGAAGAGGTCCAACGACTGAGCCCTGGGACACTCTGATTTAAGAACCTGGAGATGAAGAAGGACAAGCAAAGCACACTGTACACTGCTTTCCCTCTTAGGGTATGATCACATTCAAGAAGCATCTCCTGGGTGATACACCACCCCTGAGAGCCTTACCCAAGACACTCTTCTCGTTTCCTATTGCTAATTGTTTTCTACTCCAGCTCTCTGGCTGTTTCATCTGGGCCTGCCTTTTCATTTCATTCCTACCAGATGCTGAGCACGAGGCTTAAAACAGTGTAAGTTATGGGGGGTAAAGAAAGGTTAATTTTATGTGTCTGAAGATGGCTCTTCTGGTACCAATGAACTATTTTATTTTGGGCTTGTATTCCACAGTAGAAAGGAGAAAGGGCACCAGAGCCTATTTTCTCTTGACAAGCTCCATCAAACTCTGCTGATTTAATTTGAATTAAGAAAAGAAAAAAAAAAAGATAAACAAAATTAACACAGATGGGGGAATCCTTTATTTCCAGGCTGAAAGAAACTGGTTCAGGAGCATTCAGTCTCAGGATGACATTAGAAAAGGAACAGGCAGGATGGAAGTTGGAAAGCCATGTGCTAATTTCTGTGGTAGAACACATCTGTACTTTGGTCACTTCCACGTTATAGGTCATTTAGTTGAACTCTCTGTGGGGTCACCTCTTTTGGAAAAAAAATTAAAGCAAGGATTGTAGTTTTAGATGTATAGAATGTTGAAGAATTAGTAGACCCACCTGGGAGGCAGGGGGAGTTTAAACAAATAAAAGATGTGAGACTGTAATGATGAGTGATTCTAAGGTAGGAATGAAAGTCTGAATTTTTATGTGAAATTTCCCAAAATTTAAGTATTCACTAACTGTTTCAAATCGTTTTCAAATATAGTGAAAGTAAAAACATACACACACACACACTCATGTACACATGTCTGTGGAACAACACATCTCTCCCAAGAGCAAACTGTGTGTATCCACAAATAATAAAGAATTTTCTAGCAATCATGATAAACTTCCAGATAAACTTATTACCAAGAAAATATTTCCTGGTAATAAGATTTCCTGCTTAAAAAGAACAATAACAAAGACAATATGTGAAGGAGAAGAAACCTCATTACCTAGTGCCATAATGGAATTTTAACAATCTGTGGAAATTCTAAGAATCAACCTTAGAATTGATTCAGGACAATTTTTTTTGGCATGGGAGCCTTTTTACCACTGAACCAGCAATTCAGTAGTTAACCTTTCATACCTCCATGTGAGGGTAGTCTTTCCATTACACCAAATTTAACATAGAAAAAAGGAAAAAGAAGGAAAATAATGATAAAATGCTAAAGCCCTCACAACAGATGTTCTGGAACAGATTTTTATTCTTCTCCAGATAAAGAATGTTAGAAATTGACCTAAGTCAATTTGGCCCTTCTGCATTTTTAAAGGATTTTGGTGAATATCACAAGAGATTAGAAATATGTAGAAGTTATAAGGTCTTTTCACTGGATGCTAATTTACAGTGAAATCAGATCTTAGATGAAACTACAATAATCCACTAGTAAGTAGGCACAACCCACCCTAGCAGGTGTGAAATCTCCATTCTGTCCTCAGGCTTTCCCACAAGTACTTGCGGTGAAGGACTCATGTGAGTGTGGAAGCCAGAATTCTAAGAACTCGGTCTCAGCCAATTTCTAGTTGGGTCAGTCACAGTGTTCTCCAGAAAGTTCCAAATAGAGCAAGGGCCTGTAGCATTCTCATATCTTTCTTATGCAAGAGTCTGGGGGGCTGAATAGTCTTTTTGTCCAATCGTATATTTTGACCACTCATTTCATCAGTAAAAAATTATCCCTTCTACTGATGAATGAAACCACTAGTGTAGGTTTCATTAATGATACTTGAAATTCTTACATAGCAGCAGTCTCTAAGTATTGGCTATTAACTAGAGTTCTTCAAACACTAGGTAATCATTGAAATGGGAATTCCAGAGTAGGTTTCTTCAGATGTTAACAGTTCCTTGGGTGTAGATTACAATGAATCTATACATTAGTACATTACACTTTCGAATAAGAAGCATGCTACGTGGACAACATAACAGTAGCTCCCTATCTTCAATCATTAGACAAAGCACAAATACCTTCTTATTTTGGTTTCCTACCCCCACCATATATATAATTCCAGACGCTCATGTCACTAAAGGCTATCACAATATTGGCTCAGAAAATCATCTTCATTACAGGAAATTTCCTCCTTGAACCTGATATGAACATTTCCAAACCTGTGATTCTACCTTTCAGCTCTTCCCTCCATAAGCTACTATGTTCTTTCTGGCTAGATCAAAAATCCATATGTATATTCGTGAAAATTAAAAAGCAATCAAAAGGTCAGTCATTACATTTATCTGTATCTTATATTATCTATATCTTCCTTTCATTCAACTATTCTATAAATGAAAACCATGACAAATAATATGAAATTGAGACATTTCCCACATATTATTAAACATATTTTGATTTTTACTCTTTTCAACAGTTCCAAAAAAAAAAACAAAACAAAACAAAACTTACCATCAACTTCTTCACTATCTCATCCTTTATAATTTTGTGGTTTGCTTACCTCAAAGACACGTTCAAAGCCAAATGAGAAAGAGAAGTGAATAGGCCCTAAAATATACATTGAGTGCATAACTTCCTTCCTTAGTACTGGTAATGTGACAATAACCAAGAAATTTATCAGAGAAGTGCAAACATTTCAGACTATCTATGGGAGGAGGAAAAGGAGCTATTTAACTGCAATGTGAAGAATGAGCAGCAAAATAGAGAGTTGTCCATAGTGAGAATGCGTGTTTGATCGAGACTAGAAAATACAAGGAACATACAGGAAAATACAAAGAAAAATCAGGAACATTTGTAGTAGCTTCTAGCCATGATTGATTAAAGAAAATCTATTATTAGATTATGAGGTAGCATGAAGCAGGATAAACCAAGATAGATCTTGCTTGGCATGACTAGGAGAAACAGTGGATTTTTCTGGACATATGAGCTAATTAGATGTATGACTAATTCTTGTTCTTCACTAATAACCATCTGTGTGAAGTTGGCTACGTAACTTAATTTCCTGATTCTCACACCCGAATTTCAGAAGAATAGTGCAAAAATGGAGGACTTAATTATTTTTCTCTCATAAAAACGTTATACATTTTGTTTCCATGGAATCTTAAGAAGAATAGACCAGAGGAAAAACTGTAACTTATTTTGGGAAAAAATAATTAATTGTCTTATTTGCCTGTTATCAAAACTTTTCTCATTTTGTTTTCTTCTTGGTTTTATTCACTATCACATATACTTTTATATGGATTGATGATGATACATAATTTTTATTTTATTTTACCAACTTTGTATTACAATTTAAGTCTGTTCTTTTATAGTTTTCACCCTCCCTTTTACCGTCTTTCCATATTACGGATTGCTGTA